TGCAATATGGAAATAACTGCCCTTTTTTAAGCTCATATGCTATTAAGATGCAAAAGATGCTTAACAAATGGGCTACCTTCATTCGATTTCACCCCTTCTGAGCCTACTTTGACCTCACGACTATCAGCTGTTGCTAGTCATCTTTGACAGCTGTCATTGTCATCCATACTCCGCTCCTTCTACGGGCAATCTACCCCTAACGTCCCGTTCATCTGATCATAAGGTGCTCCTTCATAGTTTGCTTCAAATGTTCGAATTGTTTAGAGGGAAGAGCACCGGGGAAGCAGCGGAACATCCGGAGCATGTGACTAAGCCTTAAAAGATGGCTAACAACAGCTGATAATCGTGACGTCAGAATAGACGTGGAGGGGTTAAAATTAAACGCGAACGACGAAAATGCATAGGATTTTGAGATCGATTTTTTATTTTTACTGCGCTGTCTGTACTGTCAGTAATTGTTTCACGCGCTCTTCAGAGTGCGATGTAATGGAAAAAGGCTTTCTAGTCCACAGTGTGATTTTTAACCTCCAATCGCGCCTCTGCCCATGACTGCACCACTATTACATATCTCATATAATTAGGTATCGTGAGCTAAAGTAATATTTTCATTCGTTTTAACAAACTTTTACCGTGGAGTTAAGTTCATGTTTTGAGTGTTTGTGTCTTCAGTGAGATCTAGTTAAATAAATATTTCATATATACGTGATCTTCGCTAAACTGACTTGGATTTTGATGTTGTCGCATCGTCAGGAAAATCATTATCACTTAACTATTCGTTAACGCGTATGGTTAACATCTCGAAGGGTTGTTCTCATGAGAGACTGCTCATCATAAGGAACGTTTGAAGTTAATTCTACAATCGTCACTAAAGAACAATATTTATGAAATTTATTTGAGAAAAATGCGAAGCACATTACATTTCTAAAAACAATACCGAATAATTATAATGTCAAGCAGAAGTAAGCAAGAGAAATAGCTATCCGAAACAACGTCAATTATTTACTATTTTTCTTCTTACTAACTTTCTAACTTTTACTATACTTTCCATTAACGCTGTTTTGTAAAAATTGCCTACAGTCTATATTAATATTAAGTTTATTAACTGAAATGTTACACGCACTTTTAACAAACCACCGTAAACGTTCACAACCCTAGAAGTCATCTATCTTTGTATTTCTACATGGTATCTAATATAATATTATGTGTTGACATTTATTTTAAGGCTATTTAAATTCTGTACGGTTGTGCTGGAATAAATGGCAATTAAAGTTGCAAAAAGAAGCAAACTTTACTCTTCTCGATGCTAGCAACAATTTTGCTATTATGTATTTTTATTATTTATATTTTGTTTATCTAGACCTGTTCGGGATCTTGCATCGACAACGTAAAGTTCCTGAAGGTGTCCCTTGTAAAACATCTAACACTTTTAACGTCACCATAATTCGTGATATTGGACTTCAAATACAGTGGACCCCCGATAATCCGGCCCCTGGCTAATGCGGCACCCCTTGTAATCCGACATGGTCTATTATTTATTATATATTGAATATTTTTTTGACAACCTTCGTTAATGCATGATTGAACAAGTTATAACTTGTACGCACCACCAGAGTATTGTTTTGATTGTGATTACTTAGTTTGAATTTGACTATATGTGATGAAGATAGCGGTGCGGTCTAGCGTGTGTTCATTGTTTAGTGTTTATTCAACGTGTAATACGTATTCGCATCTAATAATTTTGTTCACAAGCTCAGAAGCGAAAGCACAAAACACTGACAATTAAAGAAAAATGTGATATTTTAGACCTCCTAAATCGTAAGTCTTAGGCAATACTACAGTTTGTAGGATTACCGGGAGTCCACTGTATTGCATTAATATGACACGGCTAGAATCCGGAAATCCAATTTCTTCTTTTTTATTCTATTGACATACATATTGTTTTACATTATCAATTATTTAAAAAGTAGCCTTGGTACAGGCCGATAATTAAAGGGGAAACGTCTGCAGTAGTTTTTACAAAATCAACAACTTTTACCGCATTTGGGCTTTGATTATAGATATTACAATATTTACAACGAAAATATGAATTTAAAAAGAAAACGATGAATTTTCCAGTTTTTCTTGATTTTTCCGACAATATTCATTCGATCGAGTAGATCAAAGTTTCAAATTGTATGAGCAAAAAATTAATTTTTGATCTGAATCGTTTATAAAAAATTAACAACGAATGGTTGAGAACTGGAATACATGTCAAAATAATACTAGGCATTCTACATAAGTTATTCACGCAATTGGTTTCCTATTAAGATATTTGTCACGAAATCGATATTTTTTTGTTCAATAGTCGAGAATAAGTTTTACAAATATTTATCTTTAATTCTAATTTATAATAATTTTATTTGGAAAAATCAGCGGCAGCGATTAGTCAACGACTCTAGTTTTTAAGTGGAATTATTACTATTTGTACATATAAATTTTTACTGCAGCACAGCATTTTATTATGATAAACAGTATTGTCTACCAGCGTGACCTCTTAACAACAGAAATATACGTAGAAATGATTGACTTATTAACAAAAATAATTGAAAAGCGTGACAGTATAGAATATAGTATTTGATTTGAATTTTCTCTACTTGGAACATGAAGCTTTTAAATATTGTAACTCCATTTTAATGTAGAAAACAAAAACGCAAACTCAAGTTACAAAAATCTTTGTAGATGTTTGTGTTTTTGTTTTCTACAATAACTGGTTGCATTTAGCATGTTTGAATTAGGAAAGTATTTTACAGCAAACTTCATAAATAGAATACGAACAATATCAAATTGTTTTGAAAGACATTCTTAGATAAATTAGCTATAGAAAGACTTTAATTTATGATATGTTTAAACCGCTTTATCTAATCTACTTGCCTGGCATAGAACAAACAACATATTCAATGCATTCCCGTTGTCTTATAGATTACTCTCTATTTCTTAATCAAATAATTTTGTGATGTCGAAACTGACACACGTGGATCACAAGTTTTAACTCATTGGTTCTCATCAGTACATATTCATTTTTTTTTTGTCAATTAAACTGTCAAACTAAACCCGCAGCACAGCTATCTTAAAACTTCACATTCTTTGTTTTTGTACATAGACCCTTTTTTTGTGATTAGTTACAAGTCTGAAATTTTTTGAGTGGATTAATATTAACGAGTTTACCAAACTTTCTCTGTCAAAATTCTCTTTATCTGCGTTTTCTCATGTGCAGCACTTGAACTTGACGTTCAGCGGCTATTTTTCATTTCTATTACAAAACTTTTTTTGATTAAATTTCGTATTTTTACTTGGGAGTTAGTGTTAAAATCAACTCCCAATACTTATTTTAGCTAAATCCTAATATCTATATATATATATGAAGAGCTGGATTTGTTTTAGTACTTTAGTATATAATTTACTCTATTCCTTTGCAAATGGTCGCGCGACCGAAACTTGTTAGGATTTTTTCTAATAAAACTTTGACGAAACTTTCCAAAAGTGTTTTTTGTCATGTTAGCGCGGAAAGCTCGTTTTGCGTGCTATGAAATAGGGAAGAAATGGCCTCTTTTCAGCTGTGTTTTAGTTGGGAGGAAATGGAATTAGTCTTTTGAGCGCATGCGCTGAAGTTTATGGGCATGCGCAGAAATCAGTTGTTCAATGACTGTCTTTCTAACCTCTAAATCATTTACTCTTATTTCACCAATTTAATGACGAGCTTTCCGCACAAACATGACAAAAAATAGTACACGTACCTCGGGAAGAAACAGGGTTGTGAATTCACATGCAGTCTGAAAGAACTCTGTTTCTTCCCTCGATACGTAATGTACTATTGTTTTTATTTCATTTGTTTCTTTTTGGTTAATGAATGCTTCTGTTCCACTTTTGAAATTACTTTAAATAGTTGTGAGTAAAAAAGTCTTTCTGTTTTGTGTGCAATAAGGACTTCTGTTCGGGTCCAATTTAGCTTGATATCGTAGAGGGATCAAGAGGAAAAATAGAGAGAAGAAAAATGAAAGAAAAACTTTATTGAACATAAGGTTATGATAGAAAAAGACGGCATTATACATCCTTTTGTTTGGTTCCCCGTGAAGTTCTTCCTACCAACACCTTTCACCCTCTGCTCCTCATTTTACCACGATGCCTGAACCAATTCTTTAAGTTCAATGGTTCTTTTTTCGGCATTAGAACCTCCGGAAAGTGCAGAGAAATTTAGGCAAATAATTAGGGAATAAATAAATAAATAAATAATAATAA